TTTATATATTTTTAATAAATAAATAAAATTCTAGATTCTAGATCCTAGATCCTAAATCTCACCTACTAGAGACAATTTCTATTTTAATAAAGAATAAAACCTTAAATCTTAACATTTAAAGAAGAACCGCCGAGAAATTAAATAAGAAGTGCAGGGATGAGTTACTATATTTGTTTAACTATTTATTAAAATATTATCATTAGTAAATATTTGGGTTAAAATATAATAATTAATTGTAATAGAATGACACTTAAAAGACATTTTAGAAATAGAATAATTTACTTAAATCCTAAAAATTTAGATTTGTAAATATTAAAAAAAAAAGGTCAAATATCATGTGTAATATAGTCAGAAGAGACAATTTCTGTTTTGGTTTCGATTTGGGTTCCTTCCAAACTTGGATGAGTGTCTCATACCATCCCCAATTTTTCTCCTCCAAATATTTTCCTCTTCCCACTGTTTCTTTTGAAGTTTTGGGCCCATCTCAACTCCTTCGGCCCATTATACTTGTTCAGAAAAATAGTCAATTTTATAAGCATATTAAGAAAGGATAAATTCAAAATAACATATTAATATAGAGTAAGATAATTGAAAGAGGTGTACTAAAAAAAATGATAATTGAAAGAGATGATTTGATAATGAAAAAATAACTTATTTAATCTGAAATAGGAAATAATCTACCAAACAATCATTTGTGTGTAGTGCAGATTTAAGAACTCGTTTGATATACGTTGAATCGAGCCCAAGATTAGGAGGGGAAATGGAATTATTGGCCCACACTTACGAATCTGAACAACATCAATAGTACACAATATATATTATTTAACCTAAAGCCACCTCTAGACATGGAAATGAAAAATAAGTGAAAGTAGTTTCTAAAATTTAGCATCTTTTTTGGAAACACTTCTCAAAATTTAGAAACGAGAAACGGGATGATTTATCAAACATGTATGTTTCTCAGAAAATCAGAAAAAGGAACAAGAAATAAAAAACAAAAACGTTACTAAATGGGTCCTAAATTTCTCATTCTCGTTTCTGAATGACTGTTTATATGTTTGTACACAGATTTTTTTTTAAGTGTTCTTAGATAACATTTTTCTTTTTTGTTTTCTATTTTTAAAATTATGTTTCTTTTCGTGCAATTTCAAAATTTTCACACTCTCTTTAGTTATATTTGAATTTTTAGCCAAAGCAAAACAGGTTTTTGAAAAATATTTTTTTTCCCCTTCAGAATTTAACCTAGATTTTAAAGGAAACAAAGAAATACATAGGTGAAAGTAATTATTCTTGGTTAAATTTTAAAAATAGACAACAAAAACAAAAATGATTATATATGGAGTCTTAAATTTAATTTTCTTTGATTATCAAATATAGCAAAAATTTCCTTTGATTATCAAAATATAGCAAGTGATCGACAACTTCAGCGTACCCCAAGTTATGCATTGCCTCATTTAAGTTATAATGATTGCTTTGATCAAATTACACTAAAGCCCCGAAGTAATAGCCATCAAACGAGGAACAAATTCTTGAATTCTTAGCCGATCAAGTGGATTTCATCGTATATTCTTACAAAAAATGAAGAACACCACCAAAATCAGATCAAATCATATGTTAAGAAGACCAATCTGAAGGTTTGTTAAGGGTTGATGGAGAACAAGACAGCAACAACTTAGAACAAGTTTTGATTAACTTTTCTTTTTACCTACAAAGAATCAAAACATGTTTGATCCTACAACTTTTGAAATGAATTTTAATTGAGGGATTCTGCCCCAAAATAATTTCAAAACAACAGAAGAAAGTCCCTAAGTTTCGAAATTATTTGATTTGAATCCCACGAGGTTGCCAAATGACTGATCGATCATATGGGCAAATCCTTCTGCAAGAACAACCTCCAGTCAAATCATTCTTCATTTGACATCGGAATAAGTCGTTATATCTCGAAAGCAACGTCCTTGATGAGCCGAAACATGTCTTCAGCTCATGCTATGGGAGCCTCAGAGACAGTCCTCAGCAGGAATCATATTAAGATCTGGTAGAAAGAACCCACCTTCTTCCACTGGATTTATCTCATGTGGCTTGGTTGCTCCTGATTGCATACTGTTCCCAAGAACGATTTGTATTGGTGATGTAGTTGGGATTTTTTCGGGTGTAGGATCCATGCTTTGGCATGGTTGATTTGAAGTTGCTTGCTTCGATTCATCACAAATACTATCTGATGATGCATTGAAATTCAGATTGAGCTGAAACAACAGAAAAAGTTCAAATCAGAAGAGTCATAAGGCAAGATTGGATCTGGAAAAGCAACTCCCCAACACGGAACTCGAAATAAAACATAGATGTTTAATGTTCATACACTAGCAAAAGAGCATCATCGAGGTCTCACATTTCTTAACATTTAAGACAATAATTTTCATCCGGGTTTCTGAGGGGAAAATTTTGAATCACCTTCATTTTCTTCAACTTCTCATTGTTGGTCGTCTGTTCCTTAAAAGTCGCATGTAAGCTTGCCAGCTCCTGTTCAAAACCGATCCAGTTTTCATCAAACAAATCCAATAAATCAGCAGCACCATTTCTCTTAGAGAAAAAGTAAACCTTGATGGGCAGTGTGTGGAGAAATTTGAAAACAGTGTCGTGTCTTTCAAATGATCGCTAATTTACTACTTTCTTCAAAAGCACTTTTTAAAGCATCTTTCAAAGTTTTCAGAAGGGGAGAGATCTGAGAAGTTCAAATTCAAAACACTCTCCAAAACCATTTTTAATCAATCAAACACTTTTAAACCATTGCAAAAACATTTCCAAACACACAATCACACTGCTACTTCTCTGATTCTCTCCAATTCAGGACCCCTCTTGGGAAAAGTACAGCAAACACACCTTTTTCAGATGTACCCTTTCCTTCAAAAGTAAAGACTCCTCCACTCTCAGATCAGCCAATGCCTGAAAAGTTTGGGCATTTCAGAATAACAAAGTAAGAAAGAAAAAAAGAACTAAACTACAAACAAAAGTGTCACACTACATTAAAATAATTAGTAGAGAATCCCTCCTCCTCACAGGCTAAATACAACACTATTTAGTTATTTTAACACTGAGAAAGATGGGAATTTTACCTTTCTTCTCTTTAACCTCTTGGCCATGGCAGTGCTGCAACTGAATTCACTAGTAGTACCATAGCCCTGCACAAAAGGTCAACCCATCAGATTTCAGTTTTCTCAATACAGTAGCTCCAGAGAAAAAAACAAAAATTGGAATTGCATTCAGACAAAAAAGGAAAAAAAAAGTGGGACTCTTTTTCAATTTCGGTGACCAGTAAATAGAGGACACATCATCAAACCAACATGGATGGTAGCTCTCATCAATCTAACTAAACCCAATTTCTTCTTCTCGAGAATCTTACTTTTCATTGCTCGCGTGACCCTTCACGTGCCTCTTCATTCAATTTAATGGCATTTAAAATAAGAAAAAAAAATACAACTGCCACCAAGAAGAAGAGGAAGAAACCATCTCTTGATGGTTCTACTCCTGCCGTCCGATTCTAGGAAGGATCAACGTGGGACATACGCGCACAATCTAATTACTCTGATCTCGAGAACACAAGATAAACAAAAAAACAAACACAGTTTGTTGTTCAAAGACTTTGCTAAAGCCAAACCAAAGGCATCCTATCTCTAACGCCGTTCTCAGACCATGGATCTGATCCTCACCACTATCCTGTGCTTACCGGCTCCGTTCCGTCCTGAAACTTTCAATTTCTGACATAGATTAAATTAAACTCGATTATTCCAACGCTATTAAGAAAGAAAAGGGGTCATCGCTCAAAGGGGGGAATTGTGGGGTCCTCGCCCGGGACGCGGACGGAAATTGAAATTCATATCGTGGGGTTACAGAATCGGGCAGGAGGAGAAATTCGGCAAATCCTCAAAAAAGAAACCGCGACGGCGAAGATCGGGGCGAACCGAAAACCAGATAAGGAAATCGAAATAACAGAGCAGAGAGAGGAGTAAAAGGCGAGAGAGAACCTTGGATCTGGAGGGGTGGGAGGGATGGCTGGACTCTTCGAAGCCATCGGCGGTGGCGGAGGGAGAGGTGTCGCCGCTCCAAGAGAGTGGGGTTGTGGGACTACATCTGGTGGAGGTGGAGTCCTTATTCTTGTGGGCAATGGCATCGTATCGGAAAGGGGAGAGAATCCTTGAACGCCGTTGCCTGAGACCCCATCTGGGAGGAATAACAGCGGGCAACGGAGATTTCATCGACGAAGAGGCCTGTGACTGCTTCAGCCGCACCAGAAGCTCAACCACAACCCTGTCGTCGGCCATGGCCGCGCTAACCCACTCGTCCTTGAACACCATCTCGAGAGAAAGATTTGAAGTTTTGAAAGGAAGAGAGTGAAACTGGAGAGGAGATTCCAGTTATTCGTTTTTTGATTGTGGGCTTAGAGAAGAGAAGAGGAGAGAAGGGAGGGTGGGTGGGGCGTGGCCTCGGGGCCCGCGCCTCTTTCCAGTATTCACTATTCTTTTCTTTTCTTTTCTTTTCCTTTTTTCTAAATTCAATTTAATCATATCGTAATTCATAATACGGGAAAACAGCGGGTTTCCTTTTTATTTCTTTCCCCTCTTTAAATGTTCGGGCCCACCTACGACGTGGCATCGCCGAAATATAGGTTTGGTTTTTAACTATGGGCTTCACTTGGGCCGGGCCCGAACTGTGTATTTTATTTTTGGGCTACAAACGTTCAAAATAATTACATTAATCTATTGACAATGTTTTTAGATTTATTATAATTGAAAAAGATCACATTTTTTTAGTCGTATATTTATTTTGGATTAAAGATAACTTTTCCCATTCTTTGTGGTCTCATGCTAAATGCAAATGGGATGGTTTGGGAAGAAATTATAAATTATACTAAATCACATAAAATAAATAGGTATTTATAAAAATATCGTATATTTTAAATTTCAAATATTGGACGTGATTTCTAGGAGTTAATGTCATTGGGAAAAAAAACTTAAAATTCAAAGTTGCACTTTTAGCAATCATTATTGATCATGATGAGTACTATACAATAAAGTAATCAAATAAATCATTTCGCAAATTAATGGTGGAATATGTGTATTTAGTTTATAATTCTTTTTGTTGCTGTAAAAAAACGTTTTCTATAGAGTAGAATTGGACTCTTCGATTTACTAAAGTGCATTAGTTTGCTAGTTAAAATAGAAGTTGAAATGTCGCTCCATTTTAATTAATTAAAATTCAAAATATTACTTTTGTTCATGAAATATCAAATGGTTCAACCTACTGAGAACAAAAAATAAAATAATTGATAAATTTTACAAACGATTTTAAAATATATTGATTATTACTGTTGAACTTTTTATTATAAAAATTAAACTCAAACTTTTATAAGTAAAATATTGCACCTATATAAATTTTGATTGTAATTTTTTTAAACGTCAATTTTAATGGTAAAAAATTAGGTCGATTTTTACGTCTTTTTTTTTTTTTTGATTGACGATTTTTACGTCTTAAAGCTTGGAAGTTTGTTTTTTTCTTTTAGCTCGTAGAGAAGGAAGTTTGTCTTTATTCTTTGTACATCACATATTATTATCGTGTATTAAAGAGTCAGTTATGTTGGATAAGTATAGAAAAGTTATTAATTTTATATATAATGGTGGAATTCTTTCTTATAAATTGCATATTGATTATGAAATGATAGGGATTGAAAATTAATGCTCCATTATAAATTAGATTTTATTATTTTCTTAAAAAAGAATATATTGTTGGAGGATATCATTCTTTTAGTTTTTTTTTTCCATTTTATCAGATTTGAATTTACATATTTTTTTTATTAAAGATATATCCTTAATCAATATGAGCAAAGAATACATTACTCTAATTCAAGATTATGCATTATATATATATTTTTTTAATTCAAAGAGTAAATCTCTCTCTAAAATTAAGTCATAATTCAATTTATGGATAAGGTATTTATTACATTTTATTGGTCAATAACTTTGTTGATGTGTAAATTGATTTAGGAGAATTTTCTCACCATTTTTTTAGTTACTAGATTTGACAGAACCTAAAAGAACAATTAAAATGCACATTGATTTGATTTTAAATATCTTTTTGTTTTGAATTTCTAAAATTTGAGAAACATTAATTTGGGGTCGGTAGACCTTTAAAATAATCAAAAGAATGAGGCTAATCTAGTGGACTCATCTCATGGACTGGTGTCCGAGGGAGTTGACCTATGGATTTGATCGATGTGGCTGGACAGGTGGAGTCAGTATTATAGGAAGCTTTGTCCATGAGGTTGATCTCATGTGTTCCTTGACCTCTTGGTTTGACTGCATGGACTTGATTCATGGTGCATAGTCCATGTGTTGGACTCACAAGGTTCATGTTCAATGATTCAGCCTTCTGAATCGTTTTCCGCTCAAGAGCTTTGGATGACCTCAGTTGGCTTATTGGTCATTTTTTGTAGATTAAAGCATTAAACAAGAAAGATTATATTGGAAAAAAAACACCTAGATATTGAAGACTAAGGATGGCACTGGGCGGGGTAGAGATTTCCCAATGGGGAGGAAACCCCATATATACATATATAAATATTCTAGAATAAATTTAATTCTTTAAAAAAATTATAAAGATTTTAATTCTTTAAAAATATAAAGTTTTTTTTTTAATTTTTTATATAGGATAGTGTAAAATTTAATTAAATACAGTTACATTGTTTTAGAAAATGATGACTCTCAATTTATCTTTTATGATGTTGACGAAAAAAATCATGATCCATCATTACTTCCACTTATAGTCTTATACAGTTATAAGATGGGGCAAAATTCAGCCTTGATATTTTGGAATAAATTAAGTTGTTTGGAACAAAAATTAGACGAATTCAATAAATTTTTAAGTTAAAATTTCTGTAAAGAATTACAATTCAAACAACGTCAACTCTGGGTTTAATTCAAACTTCCAGCCAATAAACGTTTTAATTCTATGGTTTTATTCTCTCGTGGATTTATTGGCCGGATTTCAGGATTTGGAAAATGGGCCATTTGGGCTGGGACTTGAGAAAGCACGGCGTTGTCATGGGCCGAAAGTGGGACGACATGTCGAAGATTGAACGTGTGTGTCGGTTCGTGGAAGATGTCGTTTATTATTTATTCTTTCTTTTTGCTTTTCCAAAACATCGTTCACTTTTTCCCAACCATTTCTAGAAATTGGAATTTGAAATCTCTTTTCAAATTTAATAAAAGCGTGTGACGCACACATTGGACTTTTCTGTCCTTATAATTTAGGATCACACCCATTTTTTTTTATATGGTCCCCAAAATCCCATTACATTTTCTCGTTTCTTTTACTATGGATACCATTTTCAACAATGCCCTCCACCGTCAAATATTCTCTTCATTTATCCAATTTTATTTAGCTTAATTCGTTAAAATATTCATAAACTCACCTCATTAATGGTAAGCAAAATTACAAATTTAACTTATAAATTTTTATAGTGGTAGCTAAAAATAATAAGAAGTATCTAAAAGGTCATAAACTTTCAATTTTGTGTTTAATAGGTCTCTAAACTTTAAAAAATAAATTCAAATTTAATTTTATCTTTATATTTTAAACTATTTTTGTGCCAACGGTTGATGCATGGATTTTGACCCTCCGACTCTTCTTCTCGCACACACCTAACTCGATGATAAGGGAATCGATACCTGCAAAATCAAACCGATCTAAACCGGTGTAACCTTAGTCACACGGGCTCCGATGTTTAAGTTAGCGAGGGAGAGTTGAGAAAACAATTAGCTAAGGATTAGTCACCTATCCTTCAGGGTTGGATCTCACTGCTACTTATAGCCGTGAAGATGATTCCAGAACCTTCGTAGCCAAACCCTGATTCGGCTTTGCAGGGCCCGAGGGATCGTAGATCGTAGGCGGGAGATTCATGGGCTGGGCCGTGGGCCGAG